AAAATCTGGTTGCAGCAACACCTGAATGGAAATGTTTGTCCATTCAGTGGGTCCATAAATTGCCCATAAATCAACCGCAACCCTTTCGCGTGCCATCTTGATGAATTTTGCTGTTATTAAGCACTTAAATCGTGGCGCTTATAGCATTATATTGTTCGTATGTTTAGGAGCACCAAGTAGTGTAACCTATACTAAGTTGGTGATTGGCTGATGCTGATTTAGGACTGATGCTGATAATGAGACTTTTTATCCAGGATAATGCTGATAGCCAGGTTTACTCACTATAATCCATTGCTTGTGTATCACAACGACAGAGTCATTATTTTATTGTAGCTGGAATGAATCATCCTCTCGTGCTCCTGCGGAGTTCATCCGTACCTCCTCCGCACTGCCCGCAATCAGTCCAGACGTATAAACGTCAAGCTCGTCCTATAACGCTATCGAGACCTACGATCAGGATGCACGAACTGGATGTGAAGCGTTATTACGCCCCCTTACGCATGTATACGTCATCTTGTTCAGCTTATGTAAATAGTGTAGTAGGCAGCGCAAAGCAAAAGAACAAATGTTGTATCTTTTGACCACACAATAACTAGCACGAGAAAGGTGTAAATGTGCGTAGATAATTGACGAAATTATTGCGTGGAACATTGAAGATTACGCGTTGTGTCTTCGGCGAAAGCGTGCAATATCATAGATGCATTGCATACTTCGATTGTGCGAACATCCTGCTGCCGGTCTTTCATCGATTGCAGGCTTTTTTTACAATCTCAGAATGGTCTGCCGACTGAGCAGCAGCATACTTAAATTTAAATTAAAAAATCTGCTTGATCGGACAAGAAAGAATATCGTTTGATGGCACCAATGTATAGATATCTATTCGATAAAAGACTGTTAGAAGCGATGATATTGTTTGTCTAATATAAATGCGTGGTAAGTCAATAAATTTAGAAACTAAACTTTGTACAAACTAAGAGAACGTTGGCGATAAGGGTTGCAGATTTCAAATCTATCTGGAAAAACGGTATTTTAAGGAAACTGGTGTGATTATTTCGATCCCCATTGCATGTAGGAAGACTTGGACATGAATGAATCAAAACGCTCACAACGCCATCCCTAAACGAAGTCGGATACTGTGGTAACCTATCCATATGGTATTATCACTCTCCCAGCCTTGCATAGATTCTCCTATCCTTTACATCTAAATGAAATTCTCGTCATTTACGATTGCTGTAATTCATCTTGTCGGTTATATTATACATTTTCCTTGTCCTGACGATCGCTCATGCACACCATTATCCATGTATCTGACAATCATCATGTCCACAAATAATTGTATCAAATGATGTATTGATCACTCAAACTCATGGTTGTGGGTGCAATTGTAGGGGTCCACCATATTAACATGTTATATGGAGGTTGACGAAGTGGTTTTACAGCCAAACACGAATGGGGGTTGGTTTCTGTTTTGAGTGAGCGATTGTAAGAATTTGTAAATGTAGCCTTATGGATTGGGTAGCTCCTGTTACTACCCGACTCATTTCGTTCAGCAAAATTCTTCTTACAGTATCAAGAACTTGAACTCTCAAAGTTAGAGTCTTTCTCCGATGCAAGGGATGTTGTAGCTCCGCTGCTTGAGACCGAGGGTGGTTGTATATACGGGATCAGTAAACACACCTGGTTCAGTTCATCCAAAAAAATCGTTGCGAGCGGACGGGTTGAAGAATTGAAGCAAATAGCCTGATTTAGCCTTCATTGAACTCACCATGCGTCCAATCGATTAAAACAAGTTCCAAGGGGATTGTCAATCGACTGTCGACATACTTACAGCTAAGCGCACACGATGCGAAGACGATCCTTCTTAATCGCCTGCTGCCAAAATCATTGACGGAGCACTACGACGCTTCTGGTGACATTTTTAATGTTTATGCAAACAACAAGATACACTAGATGCACCACTCGTGTAGCTCAGCGGACGAAACATAGTGTCACGCATGTAATACCCGAACTATCGTCGCAGCAAATATTTTTTTTTCACATGGTGACTACATGCCTCTACCACAAAATAAAAATGAAGTTCCCATTTGTGACACAAGGAGTCAGCATCATCAGTTATAGCTTCACGGAGAGAAACCATTTTTGCTCATGTAAAGAATCGGCTGCACATGCATAGTTTCAACGTCGGCACTAAATAATGATCGAACGGACAACGCACTGCATTCCAGGCTATTGATCATGATGCGTATAAAGTACCGACTTGCCATGGAATGTAGACGACACCATGGGTCGAGTTCTCCGCGAATAGTGGAGCGATCTCATTGTGATCCTTAATGCACTGTTCCTAGCTTGGCAAGCTGTCGGCCTTTCTGATTCGATCATCATCCGGCCCAAATTATTCTTGCAAGCATGTCGCTTCATTTTTGATGTCAGCAGATGCAAATTCCACTGGTTTAAACTCGTCAGTTGCTTCCACACCTTTGTGAATTTGTACGTCCCACAAAGGCAGACCATGTCGTTTTTATGATGTATGCAAAGATGAAGGACAAGATGATGTTATCTAGTCTCAGTATTTTATCTCTTGCACAACGCATTTAAAAGGATGCAATGTGAAAGCCACCTTATCGGTGAATTGGAAAGTAAACGGGATCGGCCCACAATATCAAGGATCTATCAGAAGAGCGACCGCATGAACTAGAAATTGGTTTTGGACGATCTTGAGTACTCTCTTCTCCTCTCATGTATCGTACAATTTTAGTACAAACCATTTGAGGAGGTTGCTTTCCCCTTTACCAACTACTCAGGAAGTGCATCTGCTCATTTTACATTAAATGTTTGATGAATTTAAGTCAAGGAGTTGTGCGGCGTAGACAGTCCGCTTTATGTTTCATTGCGTTCTGGCATTTTCATTTACAATTTTTCGAAGACGGGTAGTGTTGGGAGTTCGATTTCTCACTTAGCTCGTTCAATCATCGCAACAAGTGCAAGAAAATTATCGGGTTTATATCTAATGAAGATACGCATATGTATTTATTCGTTGGATGTGATACTACACCGGTGATGTAAGAATAGCGAGTAAAGGTACAACACCCGTCGCGATAGACCAGTACATGGCGTCGGGCACCACAGTCAAGTGGTGTAAATTGAGATAAAAATGCACATAGTCTTCCAGTGTCTAGCACCTCATAACATTGTGTCTGTGCATGATCCTACCTACCTACATCATCCAATGAATTGTCTCTTCTTCAGACGTTCCGCCTGGCCAACATTTAATGGAGTCAATGTTTGAGTCACGTGTCAGTAAGTGATCATCAAGGACTACAACGCATCCACGCTACTTTTCTACAGCAACGGTATAACAAATCTCCATTAGTCCGACTAAACTGTCTACCAAAGCCTGTCCGACAACATCCCGTGGTCAAATTATGACGACACCAAATTCTGCTTTCACGTTCAATTTCTGTGCTAGATTCACACGGTGCTACTGAAACGAGCACAGAATATGACAGCAGTACCATTGATCGCATTTTGACATGTCCTTGAAGCTTCTGTCTGACAAAAAGGTTGATTGCACGCGCCGCTTTAGTCTAGTTTATTTCGTAGTAGGGCAGCGCTGGTCCATTAGAATCGGTTCATATAGCTTGACAAAACAGTATGGCTACGTGAGGCGTGGCTTCAGGCAAAGACTGTTCCCTGGCTCACTTTTCAAAAAGGTCATTGCTTGCCCCCGTAAAGTAATATCGCGTTGATGTTGCATCACAGCAACGGCGTCGACCTCGTTCGATTTAGTAATCGCTACTACATCAAAAGTCTTCAAGTGCTGATGCAAATGTTTGCGTCTTGTACTTACGTCTTCTGTGTAGGCCGACATTTGTTTTGTGCCGTCTTATCTTTGCATTAATCGCCTGTGTCCTGTCAAGACAATGCAGAACGCTACTGATGATCTGATGACTGGGAAAGTAATGATCAGAAATAGTAAATGCAGAATGTGCTGATCATCTCAAGCCTTTCGGCAGCGGAAACCAGGCCGACGTCGCGAAGACTGAAAAATGACAGGTAGTCAGGGGAATCCAAGACTTAAGTTTTGACCGAAACCAACGCTACATTATTGTAATCTTGGAAAGGGCGTGTGCGGCAGCAGCCATGCTGTTCTTGCGGACCTATCTTGACCGACCGATACAATCTGTATCACCTCGGTATTTGTGCTGTTTCGTGAGCTGTACTAACGCCTCGATAGGAAATAAGCACCGCAAGTTGAAACAACGCTCAATGAAATGGAGCTCCTGAATAATACGTTAGTGTGTTGGGGTTGATACATTCTAAAGGAACTGATAGAATGGAGCAGAAATTCACTATCTTCAGATATCCTGAAACCTGTACTGCGTGGAATACAGTCATCACGACCTAATGGCGGAGCTGATTTGCATAGAGGTCTTGCGGGTGTCGCCAAGTTTGCAGAAAGCGCTACAAATGGCAGATCTAGAGACTAGCCAAGTCCTCAGAGGCTTGCGACACCGACCAAGTCAGGCGCTCTGACTTCTTTGTACATTACATGTCACTGGTCCGGGACTTTTGCATTTTATAACTAATGTAAGCAAACGTTCAAGTTGCGACTTGTCATGACATTCTAGCACGATGTGATAAGTTGTTGTCTTTTTTTAGGTGGTCGTGCTTTGAACGCCGTCGTAGCATATCTTGCGAAGGATTTGTCAACATGTTTTCCTACAACTTTCAATTAGACCTCCAACCACAGGTTTGGAGTCATCAAGATTGTCTGCCAACTCGATCTTTATTTTGGATAGATAATGCTGCTTCCTGGCGGCGATTTGGAGTGGTAGCCGTTCGATACGTGATGTTGTCTTTTTCACTACCTCTCTCCATGATACTGGCGCTATTATTACTAGGGTCCGCACTTTGCAAATACAATCATAAGCAGTCGCCACGAGCTATCCTGTTGATGCCTCTGCCTTGCCGAAGGTCAGCTGGAGTCCAATCGTCAACCTCTAGACGGATGCAACGAAATTCTTGGGTGATCTGTCGAAATATTGCCGGAGCTGTGGGCTCTTCAGTGCAGACGCAACGGGATAGTCAAAGTCAAAAGCTTCCTGCTGTAGCGCTACATCAACCGTTGGTGGTGCTAACCGCTTGTGTGGCGAAGGTTGTCGACCGATGCCAAAAGTCGACGCACTCGCATGGGGAAATGCCACGCACACGTCCGCACGCAGTCGAGGCGAACGGCGTAAAATTCCGCCGTTTTCACTGGAAATTTCCTGTAAAAAGTACTGATGTCAGCAATCAAGCACAACGATGTAGGTCATACAACATGAACAGTTCCTTACAAATTCAAGCATGCTCGACTCCAACTCTGCGGGAAAATCAAGATCATCAAACGAGAACTTCGTGCCGTCCGCCTTCATGAAACCTACTGGTGACATGAAGCGTGGAGAGCGACGCAAGCTATGGGGAGGCTGTAGCCCTCGAGGTGTCGACATGTTGAAAAACTCGGCCACTTGCTGCTTACATCATGTACAAATTACAGTCAGTATCGATTAATCACAAGACTCAAACACCACGAGCAGCTTGATTTTTACCTCGTTAAAATCGACGTCCAGATGCTCAAATGCTCGAAAGGAGCCATCCATTTCGGTGAGCGACTGCTCGTTTCCAAACTGACCGAGTCCAGCTCCGCTGTTTCGTTTGCTCTGAATGTGACGTTTCTTACTTTTATTTGTTGTGCTTGAAACGGCAACGATGGCGCCGCTGAATTCCTCACTCCCAGTGTTCAATAGTTGTAACAATAGCTGCGTGTGCAAGACGCGACGAGGTGTATCCGGCAAGAACATGCCATTGTTTTCCGCCATTGACACACTACCCGTGCAGATCCGCAGATCTTTGCGTTTTCGCTTTGAGTTGAGTTTCTTGACGCTCTTTTGTGCAATACGCGGCCCCCCACTTTTCTCATCTTGTGCTTGTTGAATTAAAGCATTGTAGCAGTCGCCATACACAGAAGCCTGCGTCGACATGATCCCTTGCGGTTGGCAAAAGATAGTTTGTTCAGTGTTCATCGAGTCTTGCGACAAGCTGATCATGGACGACCCAGCATTGCCAGGCATCGAATCGACGCTAAACTTGGCAGTCTTGTTACTTTCCTCCCCTCGTGTGCTTTGACCAAGGGATTTGTTTTGCTGCTTCGCCATGCGACGCATTGTCCGTCGCATGGACGAGTACCAGTGGTTCTTGATAGCATTGTCCGTCCTGTGATTCGTTAAAGCAAAGCACAAACAAAGCATGATTCGACGTGAGTATCATACAATTTCACCGCCAACATCTCAGTCGAAAAGACATGATCCATTTTCAAATTACCTGCCAGGCAGAAGTTTGGAGATTTCCGCCCATTTGTTACCAAGTCGCGTCTGTGCGTCCTCAATAATCTTCTCCTCTTCGGTGGTCCAGGGATCCTTCTTGATCGTCGGGTCCAGGTGGTTCAGCCACCGAGTGCGACACTGTTTGCCGGTACGTTCCGTGCCGTGGTTCTCGCCATTCAGGTGGTCCGAGATGACACTCCAGCGTTTGATACCGTACTCTTCCACCAACCGAATGATCGCGTCGTCTTCTTTTCGTGTCCAGGCGCGGCGCTCGTACGTCGAGCTGCCATTCACTCGGACATCGAGTCCACTTTTGCTCGCTTTTGCCATATTGTTCCAGTTGAGACTTTGGGACTTTCGAGCGAATACCGATCTGCGAAATCTTGTGGCACGAGGAAACCACTGCTACTCCACGTCGACGACTCGACTCTGAGAGCGTTAAAGTATTGAGAAAAAAGGGGGCTGTCCCTACGAGGTGAGACTGGGTTGTGTGTGTGCGCTCTCGCGTGCGTGTGGCTGCGAAAATGTGCAGCTCGCGACCTTTCGAGCTCCTGTTGTATACTTGACGTGAGTATGCCCGCGAGCTCAAATGTGCCGAAATTCTTGTCGACCCTGTCAAAAGTGATCGATCCGCCCGCTGCGACCACTTGACAGCGTTCAGAAATCTTCCACGTGATTCATCACTTTTTGCGATCTTTGCACAGCGACAGACGAGACGCTCGCTGGAAAAAGACGGCGACGCCTGTCTGCGAGTCCGAGGGTGAGGCTCGATAGGTCGAGCGAGTGTTTTTTTTTCGTACCTAAGAGGACGTCGCTGAACAACGTCGAAGGCTGAAACGAATTGTAGGCCAGCTCAACAGAGCCCGTCGCTCTAGAGGCGAAACAGCAGTAACGCTCATTGCTGGACATTTGACCGACTGCATACTAGGGAGAGGACAATTCATAGAACGGAGCGTCGTCGCGAGGTTATCTCGACGATGACCGTTTCTTTCTGAGTTTCTTTCTGAGTTTCTCTCTCTCTCTTCTCTTCTCTTTCTTGCTGGTAGATAGAGAGCTCTTTGAGTTGTGAGACATTCGACGCAAAGCACTGCCGTTGTACGGATCCCTGGACAGACGGTCACAACATGGTGACGGCAAAGGAACTGGTCGGATCCGTACGCGTAACACGTCGAGCGCTTGTGCCGAGGTGGCCAAGCACTTGGGGCTACCCGCAACGCGGTAGGTTTCAGTAGTGAGAATATACGGACGTTGCTCCTAGTGCTCGCACGTACAAGAGGAGAAGGTGCAGTGCTGCTGGTGTCGCTTTCTGTCCACATTTATTTATCGTACACGGAGCCTGACCGATCTTTAAGTCGACCTGCCAACGTGGTTGCTGCTTGCTGGCTATGCTGCTGGCTATGCTGTTGAGTCCACAGAACTTGCACGTAATCGAAGATTAAAGAGGCAACCGCAGTTGGTCGATGTCAGCATTTACCTTAGTGTGCTCCGAGGTCTGCGGACTTGCAGTTGAGCGAGCTGTGCATGATGCGATGCTGCTCTTCATGGTACGCTATTCGTCTTACCCGTCCTGTACGGCACAATCGACTGCGACACCGCATCTCAGCCGGGAAACAAATGACATCGCACGTGCCGGGCTGTTTGCAATTGAGTGTGAGCGACCACTAAGCGTCGACATCTTGCAGCAGGTTGGGCTGCCGTGGCACTGCATGTCTATGAGCCCGGTAAGGTTGAACAGCATCGAGACGGCAGATCGGATCTTGCGTTCTCGAGAAGCATAGACGTGAATATGGTATCATCGGCTATCCACAGTACTTGAATGCTGACCGTGCCCTTTGAGCTGCTCCCGCAACTTCAAGACGATTTATCAGCTGACAAGAGGGTCGCAAGGTGTTGTTCAGTGCAGCTTGGTCAAGAAAGTCATCGTATCTTACTCAGCCTCTACCAAAGCTGATCCTTTTTGTGCTTGAAACGGCAAAAGCAGCAGCTACAGCTGAGCTGCTTAGAAGGTGGACGAAAGCACCGCGGTATCGCAAGGTTCATGACGATTGTAGGGTCCGCCCGTACATTGCAAGGTTCAATCTATGCATCTATTGCAGACCATGCGAAGAAACGTTTTGGAGCCGTGCTGGACCTGTGGTGCTCATACATACTGTATACAAATCACTGGCGCGAGCACCGTCATGTCAGCAATACTATTACATGAGTATCGTTCGTCGCATTGTGACAGCCGCTAGCGGTCCATTAGGTCAACGTCGACTCACACTACCTCCTAGTGAATCTCATCCAACTGAAGGTTGCAAAAAAAGTGGTGGTTATCGCTGGCTAAGGATCGAGGAGCTCAGCACCAACTGGCTCCTAGTATCCTCTCACATACAAGCGTCACATTTGCAATGGCATGGACCGGAGACAAATAGTTTGTCAAAGCAATCACTAGTTTGTTCACTGACCACTTCGTCTTCGTGTCGAGTCAGTGCATTGTCTCTACTTGATGCAACGATGAATGAATCGTGCACCTCCAAGTTGCTCGTCAAGTCAAGTCAACTGATCTCATCTCCAATAACAACCAACAACCTTCAACAATCATTCGCCTCCATCTCTTTTCCGCGTTTGCAGCAAAATCAAGTCTGACGAAACGTCAAATTTCACCATTCAGAACCCGGACTCAGAATATTACAATACACTTTCATGCAGTCCGAACAGGTACTTGGACCGCGCTGGTCGCTCGAGGAGCTACAAACGTTCTACCTCCTGCTCAAGACACACGGAAAGCAGTGGGATAAGCTGACGGAGCGTCTTCCGCAGCGTTCCTGTGGTATGGTGCGCGCTCTGTTTGACATGCACCGTGGCTACCTGTCGCTGTCTGAGGCTTCGGTCGAGGGCTTTTGTGCTATTATGATGGACCATTACGACGTGCAGGACAAACAGGGGAGACTTCTAGCCAATGAGAAGCTAAAGCGCAATAAAACGGACTTTCTGATGCTGGAACAAGGCGAAGAAGCGACAAGGAAATGGAAGAAACGACGTTTGGAGATACTCTTGACTATGAAGCCCTTGAAGACGCCCCAGCTGCAGAGAGAGGAGCAAGAAAGGTCACGGGAGAGATCACTGTCTGTGAAGAGAGGCAGAAATAAAGCTGTGCCAAAGAGGGCGAGAGCCTGGTTGATACGGGAACTTTCTGTTGACGGAGAAGACAAAGCTAGACTGGGTGTTGAGCTCGGTGTACCGAGGTTTGACCTGCCGTGGAGCCATTGGTTCTATTCACACGTGGACGTGGCGTTCTTCACTCGCAATGAGTTCATCGAGTGTCTCGACGTCATGGGCCTCGGCAAGATCACGTCAGCTGGGCGGTCGACCTGGTCGTCAGTGCGAGCGTCCATGGGTCGCCCTCGACGTCTGAGTCCGTTATTCTTTGCTCAGGAGAGGCAGAAACTCGAGGCGTATCGATCTGTCAAGCGCCATTTGGATTCTACGCACATGGTGCGTGTGAAGAGTAAAGCACTTGGTGGATGGTTGAAAATGATTGTTTTCGCTTGCGTGATGTCGATCAGCTGGATGATAAAACGTGGCCGTATCGAAGCACTGCTCCATTGTTTCCAGGAACTACGGTCATCGGTATGCACTTGCTTTTCGTTTACTTAGTGCTGCAAGGAGAGCTTACTGTTTATGATCGTGCTGCTCTGTTGTTTTGGTAGCATGGGTGGAGTCAAAGCGGTGCTTTCAACTAGCTACCGTGGTTGTGGCTCACGACACTGCAGGAGCATGTCAAGTGGTTCACTTTGGCAGTGAGCTGCAAACAGATGTGGTGGAACGTAGTTTGGACAACGTGATGACTTTGAACTTTCCGCTATGGTCATGGCGAAGTAAAGCCGATATTGAAGAGTTGAAGGTGGCATCTACCACGCTACTACGACGTAACGATGGGGTTTGCAAAGACACGTCGACGGTTGTGACATCGAAAGCTGTCGATCCTAGCGACGAAAGGTATCGGGACGACAAGTGTCGCGCGCTTCTTGCCGTGAAAGCTCTACTACACCGCAAGGAACAAATTGTGGTGGCAATGGCACATCTGAATGAACGTGTCACTGAAATGCAGATGCGATTGCACGAGAAGAACGCAATGCAATCAAATGCCCGATCGGCTCCTACGGTCTATTCATCCACAGCCGTCAAGGATCTTGTGTGGGCCAATTCGCGCATGAAGCAACAACTAAAGAAGCAGTACTCATGGCTGGCTGCCAACTTGGATGCGACGAATGGACGCTTGAGAGCTGCACTACTGAGCCTTCAGTCTTTTTCGAAAAGCGGTTCTCATGGGGAAGAAAACGCTGACACGAACGTTGCTGAAGCCGCAGATACGCTGGAATGGAGTAGCGCAGCGCAAGATGAGACATTGACAGAAAGTGAAATGCGTTGGGCCATCGATTTCTTGGCTGCAAGTCAGCGAAAAGCGGCTGCGGTAGTCACGGAGATGGTGCATCAGATCGCACAAGACGAAAAGGAGCTGACTAAATCAAGCAAGTCGACTAGCGCAATCCGTCGGGGAGAAGTGTTACCAGAAACGATGCAGCTTGTCACCAACTGTGTCACTTTGATGAGCGTTCTTCATCGGCATGTCGCTGCATCACCAGACGTGCCCGCTGTTGTCACGCAGAAGCTTCTTCAGCGCGTGCTCGAGTTGCTAAAACCGACTTATACAGAGAATATGGATCTGTACGCGGAGCTTCATGCTGCTGTAGATGCTGCACAAGCTCAGATGACGCTGCAGGCTTCTACGAGTAAAGTGGACTATACTGGTTGAACAAGCACAACCACTTTGCGCAAATTCCATCGCAAGTTTATGCACCGACAATCCGGTCTGCAAGACAGAGCCCTATGACAGCAAATGTCCGGATACATGTTTCGACATTCGAGGAGCTTCTACAGCGATGGTGGTGACGACGGTAAAAGCTCCTGTCAGCAGTACCGCAGCCACGTAAAGGTGACAATATGTGGATGAACGGGTAGGCACAAAAGTCGGTGTCGGGGCGTTCTTGTGACATGTGATGTATGACGTCGTGGAGATAATGACAACAGCCTGAGACGAGGCAAGCAGGGGTGGACCTTATTCGACTAAGGTCAATCTCGACACTCGACCTGGTGATCTCAAGTCCTTGGACGATGCCTGATCAAACGAGTTTGGCAGTGCCAGGTCGCGTTTCCAATAACCTGCGGCCGTTTCTTTGTCTCAATCGATGTTGCTTACTCGCACACATGCTCTAGCGAGTGCTCATTTCGGAACTTCATCTTCACAAGCCAGCAAGATCATTTAAAACCCAATTTAACAGGAGAGGAGGCTACTCGTTGAGCTCTCCACATTTTGCGCGGTCTCAAATGTAATGTACCTACTTTTTCCATCCTGCTATTTGCCACCAATTTTCCATTCACCTACTGCCATATCATCCATACTGGACTCAAATGGACAAAAAACTGCCGCTACCCAAGCTGCTGCTGCCTACAGACACGCCTCTCGTTTCTGGCCTAAGTACCGCCTGTGCAGTAGTCGCCGGTATTGTAGCCATCGTAGGTATCTCAACTCTTCATAAACGCGCTAGGGGTCGTGCCGAGTTCCACGTGAAAAGTCGATCGAATGTCCACGTCGGACTTCTTCGCATGCACGTGCCCCAGAATTTCTGCGATTTGGTGAAAAACGACGTTTTGCTTGAAAAAGCGGTCGATTTGGTCGCACAGACACTCGTGATTTTTGTATCCGGACGAGACAAGCACGAGGTGCTTAATTACATCAGCGAACTCTATGGCATGGCGTGGGACGTTGCGTGTACACTGGACAAACCGCTTCTGGATATGCGGTAAAGCTCTCGAAATCTGTTGTAAATGACCTTAATCTTGTGTTACTAATTGAGAATTTGTTTGAATGTTATAATTTCGTGTGCAGGATCGTTGGTGCTGGAGTGTCGTCGGACAGCAAGACGTGGGAAGACCTGGTGCTGCTGCCGGAGCTGAACGCCGTGTTTGGCGAAGACGCTTCGGTGAATGTGCAGCACCTGAATGCCCAACGCTTTGAGCACGATGGTCTCTTTGCAGTCACGTACTACCCTTTGGCGATGCATGTTGACAGGAGGTTGGCTGCTGACGTGAATTACTTTGAGAACGAGCACGCCGACTTGACACCTCATGACCTCGTCATCCTCGGAGGCACGTTCGACCACTTGCACAATGGGCATAAGAAACTACTGTCACTTGCGGTTGGTCTCTGTGCCAACCGCATGATTGTGGGCGTTACAGCAGACAAGATGCTGAGAAAGAAGGTGCATGCAGAGCTGCTGGAACCACTAGAGAAGAGAAAGTGTGCTGTCCGCGCCTACATTGCGTTTCTCAACCCAACTATCGTGGCAGATATTGTGACGATCAATGATCCATTTGGTCCAGCTATTGTTGTACCAGAGGCTGCAGCCATGGTCGTGTCAACGGAAACGCTGTCGGGTGCTGCCAAAATCAACAGCATTCGCGTCAGTCGTGGATTGCCAAAGCTCCACATATTTGCATGTCGTCGCACGGAGAGCAGTACCCTCAGCTCGAGCTGTATCCGCGCGAAGATTGCAGCATCTCGAAGTCATTTACGCTAGACGCTGTTTCAAAGGCTGGACGAGAGATTTGGTGGAGTTGTGTCGGACTCAGTCTTCCGGATAAAGCATTGCGCTAAATCATGCACCAGTGTACGCTAAGTTCTGAATGCTGGTCCCATGTCATTTCAGTAAACACGCATCTCAATGCACTTACTAGGGACACGTGACCTCGCTACAACAAAACTACTGCTACGTACGTACCCAATTGCGTGCTTGCTTGCTTGTCCGCGATCTCGTCGTTAGTCACCTTCCTTGCTAATTCGTTGTAATTCGACAGGAACATCTCGTAGTGTGGTCCGCGCTAGCATGCCTTGTTATAAATGTGCGGTACGATCCAGACCGTTCACAGGACCGTCTTGGGACGCACGTTCTAACCCCAGACTTCGTTTCAGTGCATTGATGTCCACCTCTAGCGGGACCACGAATCCATTGATCCGAAACGGGATCGTATGGAACACCGGCTCCTCGGCACTTTCTTCAAATGGCAACTGATCTGCAGTTGCCGTCGCTTGCTTGCCACGCGCAACTTTCCGAGGCCGGTCACTGCCATGTATCGAGTCGACATGCACGCCATTTTTATAACCTGTCAACGTCCGAACAGCCGTCGACTTGGCTGCACTCCCAACTGCAGTAGGTAAGCCGTCAATTGACACATCAGCATAGTTCTGGATGAGAGGGAATCCAGCTGGTCCTCCAGCTTGACCAAAGGGTACAAAGGACGAATTGGGCGACGCCGCAACCCCCGAAGAGCTAGAAGTACCAGCTGCAACTGGCTCGACACTGGTATCCGGCACCTGCTGTTGTTGCTGCTGCTGGAACATCTTTATGGACAGTTTCTTCTTCTCCTTCTTGGTTGTCACGTCCACAAAGTAGCAAAAGACCTCATACTTGAGCTCGACTTTCATGCTCCGAGCGACTTTCCAGCGCACCCGCAATAATGGGTCAAAGTTCTCTCTCGTCAGCTGCACATACTTGGACTGTGTGGCATTGCTGCTTGGTTTTAGGTAAATTGCGCGGCGCTCTTGGACAAAATTTGGACCCAATTTACTGTAATGCCGCTCCACTTTACTCTGGAATACACCAAACCCCTCATCAGGAATAAACGTAATCGGAATCTCATCGTACAGTTTCTTGCGCACGGCCATCAGCGGCTCGCCGCACTTCATTGTGAGCACGGCGACGCACTCGAGATGCTGCGGAAAGCCTTCGGTTCCGCTGTCGTCGCCCACGCCTCTCTCTGCGACGAACTTGAACTCGTCCGACGCCGCCGGGTCGCTGCTTTCCAGATCGGACGGGTCGTGCATGTTCTTTATTTAGAAATAGGTCGTTGTTTTTAATTTTTCGTAAAATGCGTGCCAATCAAAACAGGTTAGAGAAAAAGGGTACATACGACCTATTTCGATGCTACGAACCGATCAAGGCTGTCGTGATGCGAGAAGTAACGACATAGTCGTCAAATGTTTACACGCTTCACTATGATATTCATGCACCATTCTATCATCCAGGCAATGCAGACATACGTATCTAATCAAGCGAAGCCCTGGCAGACAGAACTACAAATTAAGGAAACATCGCTATTTGATGACTTTTTTTATTCTCAAGTGCTCGTGCAGATCAGCTGGCTTCCAGACTAGACAAGCGAGTCGTTAAACTGCGCCGAACGTCGAGTAGTAATTAATACCCACGAGCAAATATCGATCAGCCAGTGATCAAACATAGCACTATAAGTTTATAGTGGTGCGGTTTTATCACTGGCTGATCGATATTTGCTCGTGTGTATTAGTAGACCTCCCACGTACCGGTCAGATGCTTTGCAGAAGCATGGTCAGTTAACATTAGAGGAGGTAAGTGATCGCAGCTGTACAGATGTATCGTAGCAGGTGGTGCTAGAAAGCTCTATAGGATGATCAGTTCCAATGATCCGGCGCGCAATGTGGTAAAGCACTAGGCATCATTCGCATTTCTCAACGGTTTGTCGAGAACATATGACGCACCACGAGCTGACCAGATTGAGCAACAACCCCGTGCATGCACACGTAATGATTCTCCGTCTACGACGAGCGACTGTGAAGAGATTACGATCAACTACAGAGTTAGTTGCATCCAGCGGTTAGTCGAGGTAGAGAGGAATATTCTAGGTGACGCCACCTTGGAGGTATGAAAGGGATAGCCCCAACAACAACGCGATGGACCCCACAATCGCTTGCGCATTCAACGACACGAGACCTGCAAGCTATTCGTTCGTGGTAACACCATTCACATCACCACGTTTTCAATCAAGTTGGCTTTCACGCGTCTCGATCAGCTTTCTACGTTGATCCAACCGAGGAATATCGTAACCATGGCCCCAACCTGTTTGGTCCCTACTTGTCAGGTGTTTGCGGCCATCGCTTCAGACTCTCCTCAGACCAGCTCTATGCTTCGTAGCGCTCGATGGTCTAGAAATAGACGAGAACGCGAGACCATCCGTCTCGAGCTCGCACTCTCCGCCACAAGTCGCTCCAGCTCTTCTGTCTTTCAGTGCGAACGTAACTGCAGAACAACCAACTCGTGTCCTCTCCTGCTCCTGCTTGCCTATCGCCAGGCACAGAAAGACTACGATGTCAACCCTACGCTACACGATAAACACCACCTACCGCCGTCTATCCTCAAGCTAAGCTGCAAGAAACTCACTTGTGCCACAGCATCGAAACCGCATCTCAAGCTGCTGCTGCTGCTCCTCTCCACACAATTCAAAACATGCGACCATCAGGTGAACTCGAGTGAACGAGGAGCAAGTCGCACATGGCATCAAAAAGGGCAGTCCAAAGACGATGATTACCAGCTCTTTTCACCCGCGATTAGGCAAACCTGCTGATCATGATGATGATGATAGGGTCCCAACATGTCCCACCTGATACATTCCCATATTCCTCCTCCACTCGTGGTCGGATATTTTCCAGTCGAAGGTCTATCCATTCATCCGTTCATTCATCCGTTTGTTTGTTTGTTTGTTCTTCCAGTATCAGTCCAGCACGCCTACACCTCCCCATCCCCCCCCGTCTAGTTTGACTCTGCTGCCTCGTGGAGTCATGACGTTCCCTTTGCCACTCGACTACTTCCCTCCCCTGCGTCTAAGTGCTCGAGAAGCGCAGTCGTTCCTTCAATGGGGCGATTCCCTCCTTGAGCAAACCTTGGACGCTTACCATCAGGAGCAATACGAGAGTCAAGAGAGTCGCGAGAGCAAGTGGAAACCTATTAAACAGCGCCACGACCTGACGGTTTACCGACGTCGGAAGGTCACGAGTGACAACGAGTACAAGTATCTATTAACTGGTCGCATGGACGGCACGCTGGACGAAGTGGTTATGGGGAGGTATGCGGACAACACCCCGGACTTTCGTCGCCTATCAGGCGTTTATCGTCAAGATATTGTCGACTGTGCCGTGCTAGGCGTGATCAAGACCCGGAGTCCAGAGAACCCCTTCTTTCTCTCGTGTTTCAAGTGGATGACGGTCGAGTCCCCGAGCAAAGCACTGGTCAAGAAACGAGACGTGTGCTGGTACGAACAGGTGGGGATGACCCGGGACCGCCATGGCAAAGAGATGGGGTACACCTTGACGGAATCCGTGGAGCTCCCGACGTGTCCGCTCTTTCACGAGTGCGTGCGGGCCAAGCTCTCGGTGTGCTACTTGTACAAGCGCAACAGTAGTGGCGGGGTCAAGATCTTTATGCGTGGCAGGAATGATGCAGGAGGGAACGTTGCAGAATGGGTGACGGACCTCAAGTCCGCTGACCTCTGGCTCCGGATTGAACAGGCGATTCCAGTGGCTCATGCTGTCATTGCGACGGCGCTGGTGAAAGCAGCGAGACACGTGGTGCATCGCCCAGGGGCCACGCACGGCAAGTGTGAGGTGTGCTTCACCAAAGCCTCGAGACTCTTGAGCTCGTCCAAGAATTGTGCGGTTTGCCACCGTCTCACGTGCTCCACTTGCGTCACCAAGGTGCGCGTCCTCAACTATTACGACTTTCGCGTGCCGCATTTCACGCACTTTTGCAAGAAGTGCACGTGCTTGATCCACCAATTTGACCTGCGCGCCCAACAGAGCGACCAGAATCTCGTGCGAAACACTGTCGCGTCGTTGACGGGATCCGAGAGCTCGGGAAATAGCAGCGAGCGAGCAGAAGGAGAGCGTCTGTACCGCAGTGCAGCATCTAGGGCCAGCAATGATAGCTGCACTGGCGTCTCGTTCTCTCAACCTATCGTTGGTGTGGATTACGAGGTTCGGAAGGACGAAGGTGGTTATTACGCACACTCGCGACAACCAGCTCCGAAGCATCCTGGCCGTTCCGAGTACCACAATCTCGTTAAGTCGAGTTCCTCATCGTTGTCTGCAGTGCCTGTACCAAGGAGCAATGGACTGTACCCGCACGATGAAACAGGTTATTGCCCAGGTCTTTATGGAGGACAGCAGCGCCGTCACAGCCATGAACCGCCGCGCACCACCGTGGATCAGTACTATGCAGGACGTGACTCGGAGACGCCTTTGATCTGGTCGGACGACGTATCCCGAGCAAGCAGCGGCCACACGGATAACAGTATTTTCAGCAGCCCCCCTACGTGTTACCGCAGTGCTTCAGGCTCAAGTGCGGATTTGCTGATCACGCCGATGCTGAAAATGAACCTCATTGCTGAGCAGTCTCCTCCAGCAGATCCAAGACAACCTCAAGATGGTCCGTCAACACAAAAGCCGCGTTTTGGGCGCTAGGAGGTGTGGTCTCCGCCGCGGATGTGTATTTGACGAAGAGTAAATCGGGCTACGTGTATCATTCATTTTGCTGGCTTGTCGAGTAGCCATTAGTATAAGCCGAAAAATGCCATCACGAAACACCTTCGCGATGTTTTTGTCAGGGTGTCTTAGCATAAGCCATGCGTAGCACTCTGGAACCAGCCAGCTGAACGAATCTGCTGGATCCGGTTTTCTGCTAGCAGTTTCTGCAAGTGCTTGTCAATTGCCTTCCTCGCAGACAGACGTAGAACATACGGTAGTGACTCATAGATGTTGTCTACGATTTCTGGCAACGACATTCCTCTGAGGCGGTCTCCGTGCCTTTTCAGCACATCTAGCACTTCATCTTCACGCTGCTGTCGGTGTGCAAGGTATTCACAAATCTTTGTAGGTGCATCGTTGACCACAGGTCCATGCCCCGGGTAAATGGTAACAGCGCCACAACCACTCAACTTCGCCAGAGATGTCATGAGGTCACCAAGCGAGTCAAACATGCAGCTACCAACGCCCAATACGCAATCACCCGAAAATAGCGCGGGAGCTTCGAGATCTTCCACGCCATCCAACATGAAGCAAACGTGGTCATTACTGTGCCCTGGAGTGTACATTGTCGTCAACACGCCGTCACCCGGCACTTTGAACTGCTGCTTATCTACGAGCGGGCGAATCCCCAGACGCCGACTCTCGTCGTTCTTCAGTCTCAACCGTCGATCTCCGTCGCCATCACCCTGTTTACCTTCAACAGGGAGATACTTCCACACCTTCATCGTAGGAAACCGTTGCCTTAGCTGCAGCATTCCTCCTACATGGTCCAAGTGGCCATGAGTTACCAATAGATCCGAGATTTCGCGCACCCCGTGGCGTTCACACACATGCATCAACCTCTTGACAAACGCGTAATTGCCATCACTGGCATCGATCAACAACCGACTGGAGCCCGTGCCCACAACGTAAACGTTGGTGCCACTTAACGTCAATCGACTCGGATTGTTGCCTAACACTCGCAGTACTGATCCAGGCAGTTGACCGACGTCAGGGATTTTCGGGAGATCTGGAGCGACACCAGAAAGCCACAAGATTGTTGCCTGTAAACGCACAGCAAAGGTAAAGCGAAGCAGCGTCAACACCGGAACACCTACAAGCGCTTTAGTACGAAGTAAACACAGCAGTAGCCACCCGCTGCTCGATAATACTAGTGCAAGCAACAGTGCAGTCATCCCCATAGGAGCAGAAAATCTGCGACGTGTGATGCGTGTCAAAAAAACATGTGACGTGTGACGCCTTTTCGTCAAATCCTTTTGGACCAGTCATTTTATAAAATTAAACAGTCGCCGTCATACCGTGGCCAGTAGCTCTTCGCGGATTGCGGCTGCCAGTCATGGGTCGAGGAGGCGGTGGTGCTCGTAATTCGTCAACACGTAGAGGTCGTAATGGACAGCATGGGCGTGGAGGACAGCGTGGGCGTGGCGGACGTCGCAGCGGACGTGGGTTCGAAGGTCTTTATGACGGTCCTGACTTCCGAGCCGCCGGGTACAATGACAGCGTCGCCTGCAGCGTAAACGAGAGTGCAGTGGGTATCCAGTGCTTCCTCATGCCAACTGTGCATGGCTTCCACGGCGCGACCAAGCAGCGGTACTCGGACTTTGTCGTGCGTGAAGTGGCGCTGGACGGCCACGTGGTGCAATTGACGGATATCAAGCGCTTTGCGCGCAGGGACAAGCCGCTGAAAGTCAGTGAAGTGTTCAAGCACAAGGTCTTTGCTTTGCTGAACGATGCAACACATGGCACGATAGATATGCCTGCGTCCGTGCATGGGCTAGTGGGGAAGTTGGCGGGTCGACTGCTGGGTGTGCTCAATGCAAACAAGCGAGAAAGAGCGTTGAAGCTCGGGAAGGAGAACGTGCAGAGGTTACAGGAAGCTGTGGCTCAAGTGTGTGGGGATGACACTGCTGCAAGATTGAGGGAGTTTATGCTCAAGGTGGTCGACGCACAGGTGAAGGAGGAAGAGACGAAGCGGTTGACAAAGAGTACGAAAGCTGAAGCGACAGCTGAGGTGGAGACGGACGTGGTGAGTGTTGCTGCCAAGCAGGAGACCGACTCGATGTTCTTTTTCCCGTTGATTGAAGCAAAGAAGACGCGAGCTGCGATGCATGATGCGGTGCGCAAGTTCGGCAATGGCATTGTCGTGTCCGACACGACAGTTAATAGTGATGGCGTGTCGGTGATTCGACTGCGGCAAGTGATGGTAGGCGGAAAGAAGCGGAAGGATATGGACCGGCGCGAAAGTTCCAGTGCACGTGAGTCATGGCCAAAAGACCGTCCTGAGTACTTGCAGTTTGTCCTGTACAAGCGCAATCTCGAGACGAATAGCGTCATGATGCAGCTAGCAAAAGCCATGAACACGAACGTATCGAGCTTCACGTACGCAGGGACAAAGGACAAGCGTGGCATTACGACGCAGCTTTGCACGGTCTACCGTGGATCAAAAGAGCGACTAGAGTCGCTGAACCGTGCCGGTCGCGAACTGGATTCGTTCAACTTCCTTGTAGGCAACGCGACGTACGTCCAGCATCGATTGAACCTCGGCGACCTACGTGGCAATCGGTTCTCTTTGGTCATTCGCGACCTCCCCGATGATGACACGATTTCAGACGAACAGATCCATGAAGCAGTTCGCAGCTGGAGCGAGCACGGCTTTATCAACTACTTTGGACTGCAGCGATTTGGCACCAAAGCTATCGCCACACATGAGATTGGACGAGCGATCTTGCAGCGCGACCATAAACGCGTGGTCGACTTGCTGCTCCATCCACAAGAGGGCGATGCGACCATGATTCGCAAGGCACGTCAGGCCTTCCGGGACAACCAGAATGTCGAAACTGCGCTTAAGACGCTTCCTCCGTATTTGATCGCTGAACGTGCAGTGCTGCATGGACTCCGTGTGCATGGTTTGACAGCTTATGCTACTGCCATCCAGAGTATTCCTCGTCACCTTCGCATGATGTACACACACGCATACCAGAGCTATGTGTGGAACTCTCTGGCAAGCGAGCGCTTGACCCGATATTCCAGCACTTCGCCAGTGATAGGAGACCTCGTGATTCTTCATGATACCATGACGGAAGAAAACGTTGATGCCAGCGAGGCGGAAGGTGGTGACGGTGCCGATGGAGATAATGCAGGAGAAGCTGCGCCAGTGCACAAGAAGCCCCGAACTCTGGCTGAAGCTTCGCGTCCAGAGACGAATGTTTCTGTCGTCACAGCTGAAACATTGAGCCAATACACCATTTATGACGTGGTGCTCCCGCTACCTGGCTACAGCATCGCGTATCCGGAGAATGCACTCAAGCTGCGATACGACGAGATCTTGAAAGCCGACGGCGTGGACTTTTGCACTCTGGAAAATGCAACAAACTCCGAGTACCATCTTCCAGGGTCATACCGGCATGTGGTAAAGAAACCTGTGGACGTGCAGCATGAGCTGAAAAGATTCAATGACCCTATAGTGCCGCTCCTTGAAACGGATGTTGACCGCTTCGCTGGCCGCTCCGTTCAAGCCTCCATTCCCAATGGCAAGTTCCGAGCGCTGTGCCTGGAATTCCAGCTTGGTCCGTCTTCGTATGCGACCATGGCAGTTCGTGAACTGCTAAAGCAGAGTAGCAACCTGGATGTGCAGCTTCAGCTGAAGAAGAAGCTTGATGCTCAAGATACTCAGGCGAGTGAACTAGTTGATGCTGCGGATGCTACAACATGCCAGGGGTCGCGAAGTACTTCAAATTAAGAGTTTGGTAAATGAACAACACTGAGAGTTTGGAAGATGCTCGCAAGCGTCAACGTTACCCGGTACCTCGTCGAACTAGCTCAGTTGATCATCACCGTTAGATGCCGTTTTCCCACTCATGTCGCTCGATCTTACTGACAAAGCGGTTGCCACCACTACGAATCACACAAGGTTGGAAGAAGTAAGGTACCGACCAATCTACGCAACACACAACAATGCAGCAGGACGTACATATCCTCTCTCGAAATGCGCCAGTAAAACTCAGGGCGTGTGCCATCCATAGCTTGAGTCCGGCTGAGCATTTGCACAAACTCTTCGTCGTGCGTGATGCATACAAGCTGTAAGTTTTGCTGTTGCGAGCGCGCGCTCAGAATGCTGCATTGCAACGACGACAAAAAGAACAAGATTGGTCACTCAACAGCACCATTTGGCAGCATGCACTACGACATCATTGTCGTACGTACTCTGTAATTGCCTGTGCCAGACCGAATTTGTTTTCCGTGTCAAGATTCGTTGTGGGCTCGTCCAACGCCAAGATTCCGCAGTTCAGACAAAAGGTCTCTGCTAGTGCCAAACGAATGACCAAAGCGGCCAGGACTTTTTGTCCGGCACTGCAGCGACCCCGCATTTCAATCGCGGTTCCTGCCTTCTTCATCACCACGCGGTAGTCATACGAGCGTGCAGCTTTCGAAACCATTCCCTCCTGTTGTCCGCTCACGAGCTCAATCGTGTCGATATCTTGACCCTTGTACGTGATTTGCCACAATGTACGAATAATCGTGTTGATCTCCTCCACTTTTTTCGAGTGGTACTGAAGTAAGGACTCGTCCAGCGCCTTGAAATAGCGATCCAGGTCCGCTACAGCCATCTGCGTTGTCTCGAACTGAATCAGCTTGTGCCGATACTTCTCTTCAATGTCCTTCAAATTTGGCGCGCGCAGCTTGATCTTATCTTCGCGGATGTTTTCCATTAGTTGCTGCTTCTTTCCTGTCAACGTTGCACAAGAAACCTGTGCAGCCTGGAGCGTCGCGCTGGCTGCTGCAACGCGATCATTGACCTCATCGAGCGGTGGCAAATTTCCGACTTCAACTCGAAGGAGTTGAACCTCAGCGCGTATGTTCTCCAACTCTTGTTGAAGAGCACGGTAGTCAAGATTGTCTTGGATATGTCGCTTCACGATTTCATTCTCACCGAGATTTTTCTCCGCGCTCTTCATTCGGGGTGCCAAATCGGCTCTAGATTGATTCGCTGCTTCCTCCTTCTGCTTCGTTTGGGCAATACGTTCAATCAGCGACTGCACTTCTTGCTCAAGTTTATCGAGCTCTCCACTCTGAACTTGCTTGGCCATGTTACTAAAGACATGGAAATCACCTTGGCCTTCCTGAAGCTCAAAACGCTTGGCGCGTAGTTGTTCTCTTGCTTCGGCCCGGCGTGTCTCGCGCTCGGTCGTCTTCGAGCGAACGTCACGTTCCAGCTCAGGCTCTGACTTTTTAAGCTTCAAGATGGCTTCCTTCAAAATCTTCTCCTGCTCACGCAGCCGGTTCTGCTCTTTGACAGCCTCGTCGTACTCCTTGCGCTGGGTCTCCTTCTTCAGCTTTTCTTCTCTACGGCTGTGCAGATCGTTCTGCAGTTGCTGTAACATTTCGTTAACGCGATCAACTTCTTTCTGTTTGCGTTGGAGCTGGAGGTTCAGGGCCTGCGCTTCAGCTTGCTTCGAGTCTTTCTCTGCTTCCACTTCGAACAACGACCGACCATCAGGTCCATGACTCCCCGCTGTCAAAGCTCTCATACGTTGTTCTTCTTTTGTGATTGACGCGTCAGACAAGTGCAAGTCGTCGGCACACTTACGCAATATCTCCATTTCGGACTTGGCCGTCTTTACGCCTTCAAGCTGCTCCAGTGCCTGATCATACGAGGTGGTCTTGTCTTGTACGTCATATTCGAGCATCTTCTGTGAGGCGTAAATCGCTTCTAGCTCATTAACTTTCTGCGGAATAGTGGTCTCCAGTTCCATCCACTTGCGCCAGCCCGGCATCCTCTCCTTGATCCCGTTCAGCGTCTCGAGCGATGACGTTCCAAGCTCTTCGGCCTTTTTGATTTTGTCGGCAACTTTCCGATCATCCGTCTTATCATTCAGAATGCTTTCGTACACCCGTTCTTCCGCAGGATTCATGCCACGCTCGCACAGTGGACATGCGTGATCCTTCATTCCCTTATTCTTGTAGATCTTGAGAAACATTACCATGTTTTTGCGACGAACGACCTTGTCTTTAGCATCAGCGTAAATTCGCTCAGCCTCTTTCATCCCGAGCTCAGCACACGCTAAATCGCGACCAGGAATCACCTTGTCAAGAAGTGCTTTCAAACCAGGCATTTGGTGCATCTCCAGTTCGTTCTTCTTCGCACGCAGCAAGTTCAACTCCTTTTCAGCGAGTTTCGACGATGTCTCGTTTTCTACCAGACGCTGCTCAGCTGACCTGAGCTCCTTCTTCTTCATATCGCAACTGTGTTGGCGCTCGGCTATGAGATCGTCGATCCGAGCTATCGTCGACACAAGTGAAGCCCTGTCAGTCGGTGGTTCACCGCCTTCTAAGATCTCTTCGATATCCAAAACCTTCTCATTCAGGTCAGCTTCGAAAGCTTCCTGTCTCCTTTTGTACTCGCTGCGCTTGACCTCGAGCTCAGAGTTCTTGTGAGCGTAGGTCCGTAACGTAGTAGTCTGTTGCCCAAGATCTTCCACGACTCCATTGATATCATTAATCTGTCGGTTAAAGTCCTGAATCTCATGCTTCAACGCCGCTACATTATGCTTTTTCTTAACGTCCGCCAACGTTTGTTCCGCCTCGAGTACTTGTGTACTCATTTCTTCTGCTTCACGCTGAGAGTGGAATCCAGCACTACCAAGCTCGCTGAGGCGGCTAGCAATGGTCTTTTTGTCCCGATTCAACACCTCAAGACACTGTATTTTTGCCTCCAGTTCAGTGCGTACATGCTTCACTTGAGACGTCAACTCAGACAGCTCTGTGGTCAGCTTCTCATCGTCTTGTCGCTGCTTTGCATCCAAGCTGTTTACCGTGTCTTGCTTCTTCTGTACAACATTCCTGAACTCTGCCAAAAATGTTGAAACATTGTCCTGCTGTGACGACAACGGTTGCAAGTGGAAACGATACCTGGTGCTCAGTCTCGACGCCAAATCAATCACGTCTGCCACCTTTTTCCGGTACGCGTCGATGTTCGTCTCCACTCGCGCTTTTGCCGCCCGCAACACCACATATTCCTCGTTTGCCCGACTCTGTTCCGTCTGCAGTGTCGCGTCTTCTTCCTGCAGTCTAATAAGAGCTCGTCGATGGTCCTCAATGATCGTGTCGTAGTCGTTCAGCACTCCTTGCAACTCATCGTCCGTGTCGCTCATGACGTTTTCAATCTTGCTGTACGCACGCCGGACGCTCTGCTCCTTCACCACGACATCTTCTTCCCGTCTCTTCAACTGCTCGTGCACTCTCTTCACTTCTGTCTGCAACATTTGCAGCTCTTCCAGCATTTTGCCTGCACTTGCAATCTCTTCCCGTCCCACTTTTTCCTCTTGTCTTGCTTGTTGCAACTGCTCTTGTCTCGCATTTAGCGACACGCGAATTGTCTCTGCTGTCTTCATATTGACGGTCAGAACATCCAAATCCCGCTTATAATCTTTCGTCTGATCCAGTCGCGCCTTTTTGAGCTTTCGTATCGCCTCAAGGGCCTTCGTATACCGCGCAGATTCAAAAATCTGATCAAACCTTTTTTTCAACTCGGCGCCTTCTCGTAATGGCCAATTAGCGTCTTCTTGGTGACAGAAAATCACATTTTCAATTATAGCTTTGGAAACGCCCAGCATATCAGGAATATGCTGATCCAGTTCGCCACATTTGTGACTCAGCGACACTTTTTCACCCACTTTATTCACCACTCGAATCACTCCATCGAGTGCTTTAAATTGAAGACTCTTCTGAGTCTGTCGGACCTGAAATGTTCGTTGTACGACCATTGCTTTTCCTGCACGATTACGAAATCGTAGTCGTACACTTGCTTTGACTTCATTTGTACCTGCGAGTTTTGGGTCGTGCACGAGACTGTGACCACTACGAGCACCTGGGGGTAACCCACCGGTACACGCGACCTTTAAGCACTCGATTACGGTCGTTTTCCCGCATCCATTGTCCCCTAATAAAACAGTTAGTGGATGGTAAAACTCAATGATTTCTTCGCGATTTGGACTGAAACTGCGGATGCCGCGGATCGATAACTTCTCGATGCTTGACATGGGGCTTGTCCGATGAGATGAGTGCTCGAGTGAGTGGTGCGGTTCGTTCTTTTGTGCGACGGCGGTTTTGGTCGATGATGGTCGTACAATGTTGGATGTTTGGGGTTCTCGAGCCCGGTAGTCGGAAAATTCACGACTTCTTATGACTTATGCATATGATGACACGAGAGATTGGAGCTGAATTAGTAAATTCTCATATTTTGGTATTTATTGAGATATGATGGAATAGAGCTATTTGTGCGTTTTCTGCTGCGAAATCTTGTCGTTTGTCTGATTCGCTGGAGATGGGATACGGATATTTTCACCCTCCCATGTTACTATTTCCTTACCCCTAACCCGAAACAGAATCAGAATCTCAACTTTTTGGGGAGGAATCCCATTTAATCATGAAAAAAAGCCCTAGATGATTAAAATAAAATAAAAATGCCCTAGATAATTAGAAAATACAAAATTCTTTAGATAGAAAGAAAAATAACAATGCCCCACGTCCTCGAATACTCTCGCTAACGTGGTACCCATTAAATTTAGATCATACCATTTTCTTTAATTGCCTGTCAAAGGCCGTGATGAACACCCGTCCTGCTGGCGGTGCCGTGTAGGGGGTTATGTTGTGGGCGTACTGCTCTCGTAGCTACTATTTGCACGCGCAGAAGATACAGATAAGGTGCAAACGAATCTACGTATCTTCGGCCATGGCCTTAAATGCAGACAATCGGTACTGATGTGGTTGTTGCAACTGACGGTATTGTTTTTGTTATCGTTAGTGTTGTTTTCTAATGTTGTGTTTGATATTCGAATGCTGCTGTTTTACTGCTAAAGACGTTGTTGCTGATGTCGTTGTTGCTGATGTCGTTGTTGCTGCTACCGCTGTGGCTGTATCTGTTGTTGTTACTAATGCAAGCAATTATGTATTCTTGTTGCTTTTGATGCTGCTGCTGCTAAAGTTGGTGTTGGTGCTGCTGATGTCGTTGTTATTGTTCTTGCTGTTAGTGTTCGTCGGGTTTATACTGCTTTGCGGTGGTGTTGTACTACGGTGCTGCTGTTGTTGGCGTTGTTTAGTTGATTGATAGGAACATGTCTTCTGCTCGCACGCTAGTTACTTTAGCTTTGTCAATCATTTTACAGACTATCACAAAATCATTGTACCTGTTTGATTCTCATTTATCAATTCGAAAAGTCTTTACTAGTGCTGATGGCGGCATCTTAGTGCTGTTACAGGGATCAGTCGGTGCTGCTAAGGGATTTCTAAATTTTAAGGACAACACGCTGGAAGTGGAGAGCTCAAGAGATTTCGACAACTCACACAAGACATTTGATTTACTCGAAGTGTTAAAACACTCCGACATGCATATCACAGTATGAAGAAATGATTCCAGTCTGTGTTAAAACGTAGATACGGACTTCAACAAGGTTTTGTCAGACTGTATCCGCCAGCACTTGTCATGCGACTCTCTAACAGCAATATCTGGTGCCACACCACCTGCTGTGTTGTTCGATGTGCTACAAAACTGCTTTTCGTATACTTATAACGTAAACTGGTAGTGATAAGTGGCGCTTCTAAAGATGGAGGACCTACACACCTGCTAGATTCGATCAACGTTTTTTACAGCACCTAGTTTGCTCCGTTTTGCACGTTGCAAATGTGTATTGACATAGTGTAGCATCGATACGCGAGCATAGCGTACGTCCACTCTGCCACAGTGAATATCCGTGTGACCGTGATCAAGGGCTCATCTGTTTTAGAAAGTCAGACGTATCAGCTTATAGCGTATGAAGAGCATTTATATTAGGTTAAGTCCTACATCGAAGCACATGGTCGGCATATGCGTCCCACGTCAACTAGAGTATACGAGGACATGGGGCATTTTTTTCTGATTACCTGGGGCATTTTGTTATTTTCAAATTATCTGAGACATTTTTAGTTTATCTCTCTGGAGCATTTTTATTTCCGTGATTAAATGGGTTTATTACTTTCCCTTTTTTATAACACAGCGCAGTGCACAAGGCCACGCGCCGCTTGATTGCCAATGTTCGAATTGTACTGAAGATGGATAATGCTCTAGGTGGGATCTGACCAACATAGACCCAATTTATACGAAAGGAGGAAGCTGATGACGTGCACGTCTCTGCTTGATGGATTGAGCGGTTGCAACCATCAAGCTGCATACATTAGGTCCTTTTGCGTTTACCCCAAGATCCAAGCGGTACTTCTTCAAATGTTGGTTGAATGTGCATACCCCATTTACGCACTCGTACATCCCTCTAGGCTGTCATTGGATTAAGCTAAAGAACTCCAACTACTTCTGTTGGAGGGTCACGGTTACTCTTTTGGCCGCACACCTGCTCTCTCATCCTCAATTGTTAGGCAGTTAACACGAGTGTGCATGTCAAGGTCTCTGTAATGCTATGCTTGTGCGCTCCTTCGTGATTTAGTCACCTTCCACATCTTGAAGACGTAGATCTGTCGCGGTATAAATCTGTACCTGCATCATGTGCAACGTGTCTTAGTCTTTCGATCTACAGCAACAGATTTGTCTGATCTCGCTCGATTGCACACAACGATCATTCACCCTGTTTGTAGTCGGAACTAAAGATCGAAAGCTAAAAAGGACGTGTGCGCGCTTTCAGTTGAAGAGCCATGAACGTCTCCTTGCTATCGGATACTTGACCTCGAAAAACTCACAGATACCATCAATTTTTGTGCAGGTCCTGAAGGCTGCGTGGTCATGGTGTCAATGGCGGTACGTAGGACAAATTGATACAGTTTCCATAGGACAGTTCCATGTAACTTGTAAAATGCACCATGTTTGGGTTTGGGGGGTGGAAGTAGTAAAAATAGGTGGTGAAACATCGTTTCTCTAGAGATATTGCAGTTGTTCTTGCTCATGTCGTTGTGTTTTGCGGTACTGACTCACGAGGTGCTTTATACCGATGTCACGGTCTGCTCATGCTGATCTTGTATATTTGATTGTGGACTCCCTGCAATAGTGGTGGAGCCAGCAGAAGCTAATCACTTTTCTGAGCGCATGGTATGTAACGAGGTGAATCGTTACATAACAATTTATAAGAAATTGTTGATAGAATATAACTATAAGAGTTATATTCTCAGAATATTGTCATAAGGACAAATATTCTGTAGCACTTACGAGTAGTTCCTAATTGGTTGATATAGGCCATTATATCAACCAATGAAGACGCGCCACGACAGACGCACGCAATGAGTGATGAGCAGATAGTTGATATGCAAATTTTTATTTAGACGTAGTTAGATGAGGATAAATAGTGATTTATTGCAGACATTAACTATGATAAATACAGTTCTACTTTTTACTTAAACTAAGTACTCGCTTCTTCTTACCGTCTTCCTCTGCACGTACCAGTGTACGTGAAGTTCCGAGGCACCGCCTTATTCTGTCATCAGAATAAGTAGCTTGTACTGTTACCAGTACAAGCTTCAGGGTGCCCCATTTAACCTGGTGGCACTTCGTAGTCCGTCCAAGGACCACGTTCACATCTAGCATGAATATTTGGATGATGAAGATGACCAAAGCTTTTACGCTACGCGTGACGGCTACTCCCATTTGAGCGATGTCGAATGGGATGCGGTTGAACGGATGGGTTCAACCATGGGCATCTATGCTGTTAGCGTCATGCTAGAGGCTCTCAATAGAGATGCCCAACATGCTACTATCGCCAAGTTCATTCAAAATGAACTTGACGCCGAACGCGAGAAAGTAGCCTTGCTTCACCAACAAGATTCTCAACAAGCAGAGTTGTTGAGAGAACAGGGTGTTCAACAGTTTGAACTGTTAAGACAGCAGCAGGCTGCTGCTGGCGGGTCGATGCACTCGCGTCGACCCGAGACCTTGAAGATTGACATCTCTAAGTATAGAGGAGTCGAAGAGGACTCCCTCCTGAGATGGTTTGTCGAATTAGACGACGCCATAAGGGCGCGTCGCATCGGCGATGGGGAAATTCAAGTTGCATTTGCCCAATCAAATCTGGCAGGACGTGCCAAGACTTGGGCTTTGGGACTCAAGTTGCACGACCCATATGCGTTTGGGTCGTTGGGAGTCTTCAAGTCGCGGCTCAGACAAACGTTTGAACCTCCTAGAGCTGAGTTCAGAGCTCGAACCGAACTCTTGAAGCTCAAACAGGGTAAACGTGATGTGCACGCTTACGCGCAACATATGCGACATCTCACGAGTTGTATAAGTTCCAACCCGGTGGATGAACACACGTTGGTTTCGGTGTTCATGCAGGGTCTTGCGGATGGTCCCGTCAAGACTCACCTGTTCCGACTTGAACTAGATTCACTAGAACAAGCCATTTCCATTGCGGAACAGGAAGACTTCAGTCTGAGACAGGCTCGCGCCAGATCGACATCATATCATCAACCGAGACGATATGACAGCGGAGGTCCAGAGCCGATGGAACTCTGTTATGTAGAGAGCGAGAAGGCTCGCTCTACAGACTACAAGAAGTTGCAGAAACGAAACAGATGTCAAAAGACAGGACACTACGCTTACGAGTGTAGTGCCCCTCGTCCAGTGTCTCGCAACACTGGGCGTAATGACCGTCCACCCATGAGAAAGGGGCAGGGACGCGGGTTCGCTGTTGTGCAAAGACGCAACAACGGGATGGACCGTAAAAAAACGGACAGGATCAGTAGGTGCGGAGCACCCTACTGGTCCAGCAACGTCAAGAGAAATTGTGGGCCTTTTGCTGAAGGTTGCTCCCAACACACAAACGTTGTGCGTTGCTGCTCTAGTTAATGAGATCTCACTCCTTACCTTGAAACTCGAAGTGACAAATAAGTTGTCCCTTCAAACTCTAGTCGATTGTGGGGCGTCCAACAATTTTGTGCGACGCCAATCGCTAGAAGTTGGTCACTTCAAGTTTGTTGAGTGTGACACACCTCCTACGAGGATGACGTTACGTCTTGCGACAGGCGCATCCGTAACCTTCATGAAGCGTATAGTGAAGATCCACTATACGCT